AGTATCTACTCTTGGTCCCACCAAGCTGCTCTTAACCATCACCTGTATAATATAACCCTGTATTGCCATTCAGCCTTTGACATGACATCTGACACTTTATAACACTATAGCCTCTCTGGGGACATATGTCATTCTTTGTTCTTTTCTGGGTTCTCTCAGTTGACACCTTTATGAGGAGCATGTGCATTGCCTGAAGGGGCAACAGGACTCCCCTTTTCTGTTTTAGAATCTAGGGAAATACAACATTGTCAGAAGATGGACTCTCTGCAGCCTCAATTTCTGTTCTGTTCTGTTCTATACTTTCTTTATCTTTTTCTTCTCTTCTTTCTGTCTTCCTCCCCCCCCCCCAGAATGGTATAGGGCTTTATGAGATGGATTATAAGGAGATAGTAGGCTTTTTCCTCCAAAGGGGCAGCTCCATCTAAATGGTAGATGCTTGCACTGCACTGGTCCATACTGAAAAGCAATCCACAAAATTGCTAGCCATATTTAGTCAAGAACTAAGAAAGAAAAAAATCCTGGTGCAGAGAGGGAGAAGTACTCACAAAGTCCTACCTTCAACCAAGATACCAAGGTTTGTCCATGATACCTGCGGCCTGCTGGGTGTCAAAAGAATGCAGTCTGGTGAACATTGCCTGGGGGACTTTGGGAACTATGAGAAAAACTCCTGGAAACATGGCAGAGAACCTTTCACTTCATGTGCATTTTGTTCCCTAGATTGTTCTTGGACGTGATTTCGTGTCTCCCATACTCCTGTACATTTACTTTCAATTTATAAGACATGTTTATTCTGGTTGGATGTCAGAACAGTAATAGGGCTGTCTGCCTTGCTTTCATGCTTTCCCAGATTAATCTATACTATGTGCCAGGCAACTGTGTTTAAATTGGTCTGTCTCTAGAAAGTTCTGAGAAAGGTCTGCTGTTAATATATAGTGAGTGCTCACTGGAGTTTATCTACATGTTTTTCTGAACTCCAGCAATCTCTCTTGGACCATGCTTTCTTTGTTGTATCCATGTATAAAGTCCACTGAAACTGAAGTACTGCTGTCTGCAGAATGGACTGCAGTCTGCTCCCTTGTTTTAGGTCTTCACATCCCAGGTCTCCCAGACAGATCTCCATAGGGAGAGAAAGGTCAACAATGGGAAAGGGAAAATCTGTTTTCCCCAATGGAGTGTTGCTGAGCATAGTAACCCCATTCCACAGCAGGCTCCATGCCCAGGAGTGACTGATCAACACAAAACAGGCTCCAGGCTTGGGTCTGGTGTGTGTGTGCATTTTTGTTTTGTTATTTTTGTGTTTTTTGTTTATTTGTTTGTTTTGGCACTTTTAATGTCTTTTTGAGAGATAACATATGAAGTTGGGTGGGTAGGTAGGCGGGGAGGCTTTGGAAGGAGTTGGGGAGAAGAAAGAATACAATCAAAATATATTGTGTACAAAATTTAAGAAATATCGGATGAAGAAAACAACCTACCAGTAATAAAATAATTAGAATGTACTTTGGTCATTTCAGTTTGGCAAGCCTGTTTGATTTCAATTATCTAAAGCATTTTTTAATGGGAGATTGTCTACATTGCAGAGAGTAATGGTGACTTAAGTAAGAAAAGCTCTCATGACCATATTAATGCTCAAGAGTGAAATCAGTCAGCCACTGTCCTTCTTTTTAAAGGTCATCAATGGAGAAGTCAGTAAATCTTTCAACTCTTCCTCATCCAGAGAGATGGAGGTGGGAAGAGATGGGAGAATGAGCCCCAACTCACCACTTCCAGTTCCTGGAACTCACTTGTTGTCATGGTAACTGTGTTACCCTGTGAGCATCCTGTTGTAGGATGACTATCTAAGCATGCTTACAGCTTTCTGTTTGGAAATAATTCAGTGATTCTTTTTTTTTTTTTCAAACAACGGTCTGGATGATATGATATATTGCAAGGACAATTCATAAGCAGTCTCTGACTGGGAAATGATTCTCCCTCACCTTCCCTAACTATTATTCATTTAGGTATTAGGTTTCAGAGGAAAGTAGTATGGACCAATAGAGCACACAGTTCACAGGCCAAGTCCACCCCCTCTTTTGTTCATACATCCTGTGAGTTAGGAATTGTCATTATATTTTTAGTGTTGGAAGAAAGAGCTGAACTGGGGACATAGCTTACTGGCAGAGCACTTGCCTTAACATGCTCAGGCCCTGGATTCAATCATCAGCACAACAAAGAAAAAACAATAAAGAAAAGACTAATCTTGATGAGGCCTGAAAATTACATAAAATTAACATTTCAGTCTCATAATAATGTGGCCTAGAAATATGGCCATGTTCAATTATTGACATATTGCCCATAGTTTCTTTTGGGTTGTAGAACCAGAGTTGAGCAATTGTAACAGAAACTGTAGGCTTATAAAGCCCAAAACCATTTACTATGTATTGTATTGTAGAGAAAGAATGCTGGGAGGAGTTAGGCTAGGAAGTTCAGCATCTCCTTGTCACAAAACCTGTCACAGGAGCTTGGGAAGAAATCCAGGCATTTTCTGGTCAGTGTTCCTGATCCCATCTACCACTGCATATAGTTTCATGATGGAGGCCAATTGAAACAGATCTGTTTGAACATTGTGTTCACCCAGAACACTCAGTGAAAATTAACACCCAGTGCCACCATATGGAGAACTTGGTCCGCCTGGGATCTGATCAGGTTATAGAAATTCAACTGTCAAGTTGATAAAATGGCTGGAGGGAACGGGCTACCCCCATTTTACCATTCTGTCCCTTCTGCCATGTGAGTATACTGCACTTCAGGGGCCATCTGGGAAGCAGAAACTCACCAGACACTGAACATATTGGTATCTCAATCTTAGACTTCCACACTCACAATGAATCCCTATGTTTACAAATGACCAAGCTTCAGGTATTTTACTATAGAAACACAAAAGGACTGAGATAGAATTTGTTTGCTATATGTGTTAGGTAACAGCTGTCTAAGCATTTGGATGAAGCTTTGGGATAGGATAACAGGTAGAGGCTAGACTGCAAAGTGATATTCCAATGAAGGACCAGAGAAGGAAGCCAGAGAGAGCTTCAGGCTTCTCAGAGATTGTCTAAGTGGTCATGAACAGAGCACTGAGCGTGAGATGGATAGTAAGGACTGTTCTGATGCCAACCCAGAAGGAAGCTATTAGAAATTAGAGGAAACACTACCCTTATGGTAAAGTGGCAAGACCCTTGGCTGAATTGTATCCCTGTTCAAGTTCATTAGAAGGAAGAACTTTTGCTGGCGTTGAACAAGCATATTAGGAAGAAATCTCTAAATAAAGGTGATGATGGAGGAGGCATGCTTTCTTGTGACTGCTTATAGGAAAACGTGAGAAGAGAAAAGTGAATTAAAAATGCTATTTCTCAGCCTGATCACATAAACAATAAAATGTATGTTTGGGAAAGAATACCAATGGTATATCCAATCAAATATCTGGTTAAGATTTGTTTGAATACAAAGAAGGTGAATGTATTCACCAAAACAACAGAAGAATGATCCAAAGGCATCACGGAGATCTTCCAAGGTCCATATCCATCGCCTTGAGGGGATAATAGTTTCATAGGAGAAGCCCAGACCTCATGGAACTTCAGGCCTACTGCCCAGCACTGTTGCAAGTTTCTGCTTCATGTATTTACGCACAGTGTTTCTTGGCTCAAGTAGACCCAGCTGTAACTTAGGCCACTGCTCTGATAGAAACACACGGTAACATCTGGCAGAGTCATGCAATGCTAACTCTTCAGGTACACAGAGTCTATGTACCTGTCTAGGAGAGGAGACATAGCTACCTCCATCTAGATTCAAAGTGTGCTCTGAAGAGCCTTCAAGTCCAGGCAGAGAATTGTTTCAGGGTGTGGCTGCAACAAGTGGTACTCACTGAGGCAGTATCTAGTGGGACTGTGGGACTAAGAGCACTCTAGGACTACTAGCACGTGTAATCTGTGAAAGTTGGGGGTTTGAGACCCCAGCTTCTGAGAGCTGTAGCATGGGCCTTTCCATCCTCCCATGTCTGTAAGCTAGGACTCCAAGTCATAGATTATTCTTAAGTCTCAAGATTGCGTTTATTGGGCTGGTAAATGGTTCAGTTAGTCAGCCCATTACCTTGCAATCCTAAAACTCCAACCCCCAGCACACAGGTTAAAGAATCCGTGTGTGATAGCAGGTGTTTTCAATCCCAACATTGGGGAGGTGGAGACAGGGGGATCCCAAGGACTTGATGTTCAAATAGATTAGCCCGCAGAGTGAGCTCCAGGCCAAGGAGATCCTACCTCTGAAAATACGGCAGAGGAAGACACACACACACACATGCATGCACGCACGCACGCACGCACGCACACACACATGCACACATGCACACACGCACACGCACTCACACACACACACGCACATACGCACACATGCACATACGCACACATGCACGCACACACACGCACTCACACACGCACACACACACGCACGCACACACGCACGCACACTTAACGTTTTGGTCTTGTTGGATTTGGGACTCACTTGGGGTTGGTTGCCCTGTCCTCTTTGGCATTCTTTCATTTTGAAATGGGACAGTGTCTCACAGGCCTGCTGCTGCACCATCTTGGAAGCACTTAACACCTTTACATTCACAGTGGCAGAGCTGGAAGGGAAAGGGCCATTGGGGTTCCTGTGCTGAGTGAGATTAAGCTCTTTATAAAAGATGCATTCCATTGTGCTTCTGCCCTTCTGCCAATCACCAGGAGAGGGTGATTGGCGCCATCTTGGAAGCAGAGATACCCAATAATCACCAGACAATGGAAACTGCTGGGACCTTGATCTTTGTCCTCCCAGTCCCTACAATTAATGAGAAATGACTTTGCACTGTTTATAAATTACTCAGTTTCAGGCATTTTTTTTTTTTTATAACACCCAAAGGACCTAAGACAACATCACACAGCTGGATTGTTGTACTTCAGCACCTGTCCTTTGGGGACAGGCAGATCATTACTTACTCCTTCATGTGCTGCATCTTGGTCCTGGCCACTTCACTGTTGAAAACGGATGGTCTGGGGGACGTGTCTGCAGCCGTACTGGTAATGGTCCTTGTGTCTGAAAAATCAATGCACTTCCCTTATTGACTTCATCAGCACGCCTATAAATTCAAGGTGACATTCAAGGGCAATTAGAGAAGAGGAAGCTAATCCACCTTTGCCACAGGTAATTCAACATTAATTAGAGAGTAATTCAATTATCATATCACATTAATGAGATTAATTCCAAATGATATGAGTCTTAACAGTTTTGAGATGCATCAAGATTTCAATCACCAACCCTCTCTCAGAAAACTGTTTTAGCCCCGTATTGTTATGTAAAAGATGACTTTTCATATTAGAAAACCCAGGCACTACCTGTACAGCCAAAATTCTGGGGAGCCGTGGGTCAGTCTCTCTCAACAGATATGCCATCTGTTTAACTGACAGGGATGTCTGCTAATAACACACCTTCCCCTTGCCTCACCCCCTGCTTGGCCTTTAGCTCTTTGTTGGAGCAAGAAGCAGAATGCTGATGGGGGTCACCTGCGGTCCTGAGTCCAGCAGCATGGAGGAGGTCAGAGCTGGTGTAAAGGTGAAGAACTGTGAAGGGATGATGAGGTATGGCCAACTCTGCTGGGACACTTCTTCCCGAGAAACCCCAGAGGCCCTTACCAAACACTTTAGAACTGAGATACCCTGGAACAACACAACTTCTTGAGAAGAAGCTGAACCTGGACTGGGGGGACATGGTTGAGTGTGTCAGAGTCATGGCTGTTCTCACAGAGGACTAAGCTCAATTCCCAGTAACCACATGGAAGCTCACAACCATCCACGTGTGGCTCCAGTTTCAAGGAATCAAACACCCTCTTCTGGCATCCATGGGCATGAAGGCATGAAAGCGGGGCACACAAACCCATGGCAGGCAAAACAGTCACACAACCAAAATAGAATAAATATTAAAATCTGGACATGGCTCACAGGCGAGGGCTCTGTGAATCCATAGAGTGGGGCTTCCCAGTCAGCCCCTGCTTTGGCTCCATGGAGCTGGGGAGAAACTGTTTGCCCATCCATTGATACAACACTGTGTACTCACACTTACTTACCAGTTACATCCATGTAAAGACCCAGACTCTGAAATTCCTGCTCTTAGCGAACCTCACATAAATATGACCGATTTGAGGGCAACTCGGAACAAATGCTATTTTACATAGTAGTAAAGCTATTTTCCTTCATATTTTAAAATGAAAAAACAGTAAGTGCAAACCTCGTTTCTTTCAACACATATCCTCCTTTTGGGTAGACCCTGAGGGTATGGGCTTTGCTCTGAACGTCTTGTTCTTAATAGATTTTTGTAGAGATGATGTTCATCCTGCATAACTTGGTGAGGCTCTGATCTGTCCTCAGGTAGATTGCCGGGGTACAAAATTATTGGATCTCCAGGCACTGACTTTGAAGAGGGCACATTCCAATTAATGAAACAGCCTGTCTGTTCTTCCTAGTACCTGACCACATGCCTTCATGCTACAGGTATAAGTAATGACAACTGATTGTTGCCACCCCTCTCTTATTCCTGTGCTTTGGCAGCTTCCTGCCAGCTCTCATTTTCCACCAGCCCTGGCCAGGACAGACCCTTGTCCCCAGGCAAAGCTAGGGATGGGAGACAGGAAGGCTTAGGCTCTCTTCACAAAAGCACAGGTCCTGCTTGAACCGGTTACTAAACATGTCACAAGTATGTTCCAGGTGAGCTCAGAAATCAGTTCTGCCGAGAGTGAGCGGTAAGCTTCTTTCCCTCTTCAGGAGGGGGCTGGCAGGTCCTCAAGGCTTATGTAGTTAAAGGTCAAAGCAATTTCCAGGAGTGTTCCAGGTTATTTCAGGCTGACCACTCTGCTGGGAAAGATGCTAGCTTTCAAGTCCAGAGGTAGAGAAGGGCGCAAAATGAGTTCAAGCTGCAGGGCTGGCAAAGCACGGTGCTTAGTAAACAAGTCCTTCTCCATGCTTCCTTCCTCTCCAGGCCCTGAATTCCAAATGCTAATTTGATATACCTTGCCCAGAGCACTCATTTAAAATGTACATTCATAAGGAATGGGTCTGGACAGAGCTGGGGATTCAGAATTTCTAAGTACCCATGTGGTGCTAATGCTATGGGCCATGGGGTGCATTTTGAGCAGCTCTTTGTCTAAGCCACATCATGCAGGGTCTAGTCCAACACAGCAACACAGAGCTCCTTATTCAGAAAGCAAACAAGAGCTGTTTTCTCCATTCTATGCTCTCTGGACTCATCATGGTGTTTTCTTTGTTTCTTTTTCTATTAAAGTTTTCTTTTACTCTTTTTAGATAAATAATTATTGTACCTTTCCCTCAGGAATTCGTGACATTCAGAGAGGTCTGGAAGTCCCTCTGGTCCCTAACTCTACTCTAACCACACCCAAGATCTCTGAAGATGGTGACAGGGTTCAGGGAGCAGGGAGCAGGGAGCAGGAACAATTTTCCAAGGGAGGTGGACAGAGAAGAGATTGCATATACACAAGACTTTTAAAACTCTGGTGTATTTCATGGTCCCATCATCAGATTTCACTCACAAAACACATATCCAAAGATAAAATGTCATTAAATCCAGAATGCGTTACTGCCACCTAAACCTGGGGTCCTGTGAAACTGCATGGGACACACACACACACACACACACACACACACACACACACACACAGAGGACATAATCCTGGAGTTCATTCTTATTTAAAACAAAAACAAAAAACAAAAACAAAACCAGAACATTCTCTATTATCTATGTTGGATTTTAAATTAATTTTCTCTTAAAAGATTTCAAGATAAGTTCCAAACAAGCAGAATAGCATGTGTGAGACATACACAAGTGTCAGAAGCAGTTGCAATGCCAAGAGTCTCTTAGGGTTGCTGGAACCTCTCCCTGCTCCCAGAGGTCTTGCATCGTTGAGCAGGAATAGCATCCTTACTTACTTTAGACTGACCTTTGCCTTGGCTTCACCTCCATCATTTTTCTAAAGTGCAATGCTTGTATATAACATATACAACACTGTAAGGCACAGGAATGCAGAGAAGCATGATGAGGGTCATGGGATAAACGCTCACCTATAAGGACCACAGTTGCTATTCCAGCTCTGCACACCAACTGCACTGCCCCCCCCCAGGCTACCTCCCTGAGTCCCAGCTTTCTAATTCTATATTCAAGTGGTTCCATTAGCTGAGAGTCTTCCCTCACTTCTGTGAACAGGTGTAGGACTTGTGTACAGGACACAGAGTTTATTACAGAAGAGCCACTTTGCACTAACACAAATAGTGAGCAGCAGCAGGAACCAGTACCAGAGAAAAATGGCTGGAAGTAATAAGTGTCCTGAGCATTACATGACTGCAGGTAGAAGCATCGTGAAGTCTCTTTGCTCTCCAGGGAAACACAAAATGATGAGGATCATAACACCGGCCACACCCCGTGGAGATGTTTCGACAATGAGGTGAAAACACAATGGTAGGGAGAGGCACTGAGCAAGCAGAAACTGCTTGCAGGGATCATCTCAAAACAATATTACCAGGGTTCCTCCCACTCCTGTGGACACTCCTGGGCAGAGAGATCTTCTCTGTAGAGACGTCATCATGATGGTGCTGACATTTTACCAGGAGAGAGATACTCTCCTCTCATTTCTTCCTTGTGAGAGATTTCCCTCTTACCTTGATCATGAAACCAAAGCCTGTGCCTTCCCCTTTCCCCCACTGAGCATCCTGCGTGTGGGCAAGACAGAGCTGATGCAGGCACTGCGGAGGTGGATATTTTGGCTATGACCTCATCTAAGTGCCCAGGACATTGCTTACTCAGGAATCCTTGCAGACACTGCCTTTGATGAGCTGGTCTCTCTTAGACCTCTTCTCCCTAACCACCCCTTAGCCCTCTCATCTTTCCTTTAAGTTCCCAAGGCATATCCAGACATTAGCACTTGCTTGACACACATCAGCTGATTGTGAAAGCACATCCTCATGCCCCCATTTCTTCTCCCTTGGGAATGGGAAATCAGGAATATTCACAGACCAGGGGTGTTTATTTCTGAAAAGGGACACGCAATCACCATTTTAGAATGTGCAGGCCATACACTCTCTGTCATATTTATTCAACTCTACTGTTCTAGCATGAATTCAGCCATAGGTAGAAGTTCAAGAATGAACATGGCTATATTCTCGTGAAATTTGACTCACAAGAACAGGTAGTGGGCTAGGTTTGGTCTGCTGGGCAGTTTACTGACCTCTGACCTCAGTGATGTAGAATCAGCATGGTGGTAGCTATAGAACTCAAGACAAACACTTCATGTTACCAATGGAGAGACTGAGGTAAGGAGAACCTGCGAGACTTCCCAAAGTTGCAGAGTCAGAAGGGGAAGGGTCTGGGCTAGAACCAGTTGTCAGATCCCCCAAGAGTAGTCTTTCTAATCCCCATATTTGATTTAAACAAATTAAGACTATCTGACAAAACGCCCTCCTCTAAAGGCTGAAATGTGGGTGAAACATGACATCTGCCACCCCACTCCTGCCCTCTCTGGTGGCAAGCCAAGAGCTTCCGGTCAGAAGGCCCATGTGTCAGTGGGCACCATGAAAGCCGCTCCACTCTGCTAAGAGGATTAGCTGAGTCAACCTTTGGGAAGGTTGATTTCTTGAGCTTTTCCTGTGATGGCAGTGAATTTAGGATAGCAACAGAATTGCCTAAAATTGGCAAAGTAGGCTTTCGCCTATCTTTGCTATGTCACCACAGCACCCCAAAGAGGGAATGCGTTGTTCAGAGCTGCCTTCAAGGAAGAATGGGATGTAGCTCAGCTGCGCAGCCTTCAATCGTGCTCCTTTCTAGAATAGCATAGAGCTGCCTCTCTCAAGCTGTGCCCTTCCAGGTGCTTGGCATTTAATAACTGACCATGGGAGAAACAGAAAGCTGGCCCTGACAAGTGGGACTCTGAGCACTGAGTCCGGGTAGGGTTTGTCAGAGATACAGCACTGCTTAGCTTCCCATCTGCCTCATTCTGCATCCCTTCCTCTTGTGGCTCCAAGGATCAAAGACACTTA